GAAAAGTACTTCCCTATGTGCTCTGAGCTTCTCTAGCAGAGGGCCAAGCCAAGGAGGGAACCCCTGTTCACAGTCAGTTGGCTACAACACAGGCAATAACTTAGGTTTTTGGTAGACACATGCAGTGGTGGGGTCATATGAGGCCTGATGCTGTCTCCAGGTGGGCAGTGTCAGAACTGAGTTAAATCGTGTGACACCAGTAGGTGTCTGTGCAGAGAACTGGGTTATTGCTTGGTATGGGAAAAGTGCACATATCTGACGCTGGAAGTGGGGCTTTTCCTACAGCAAAAGTCCTTGCAGCAGGACATCAATGCCCATCTCTTGATTTTCAGACTGGACTTCGGATCACTAAGAAAAGCCTGGGGACAAAGAGGTCACTCCCGAAGAGTGTCTGAAGGGGGAAATGTGACCCAGGTGGTCTCAAGTCTTAAAGGATCTCTGAGATTAAACTGAGAGAGACACAAAGTTGCCTTCCTTACATGGAATCGGGAAAGTGTACGTTTCTCAGAACCCAAGCTCCAGCTCAATACCCTCTAGGAGAACCTATTCTTCTTGGGGTAGTAGATATAATATTAGTCAATTATGGGCAATTTCAGCCCCTTAAGTTTCAGTCCTCCAGACTCTACGAGCAGACTCAAGTTTACTCAAGGTCAAACTCAGGTCCTTGCTTTCCTTCAGAGTACAGATTCCAGGCCTGACTGATTTCACATTTTATTTCATTACATAAGGCATCTTGTATTCTACTAGTTTCCATAATGAGACTCTGTCTAACAATCACTGCACCAATGCAAAAGCTTCTAGTACTAATGGAAGCATGGATGACCTAAGGTCTGTGCCTTTCCCCTGATGGCCTCCAGTAGTCATTCCCAGTGACCGTCTTCCTGGTTTGAGTGCCAGCTCACTGGACCTGGTGTTTCAGCCTGTGATTTAGGTAGCTAACGAAGCCTTAGGTTATAGCCGGTCTCTCAAACAGTTCTGGTCAGCGGGTTTGTCTTGCCTCAGTCTTCCTCTGTTCTCAGCATCCCAACAATCCTTTCTCTTGCCTCTCTCCTGCCAGACGTACTTGGAGATGTTGCAAGTTGTACCTTCTAAAGGTCCTGGAGGGAGGGCTGCCTAGATCTCCGCTCTGACCTGATGCTGACAGCTCTTTGTTTCCAGCCACAGAAAATGGAGGCAAAGCGTCAGAAGGCCTGGGCCCTCTCTGCAGTGTCTCCTGACACTGTGCTCCTGTGTGATTTCCCTTCTACTCAACTCAGGAGGGAAAAATAAGCTTGCATTTAATTAAAATAAGGGGACATTGCAGCAGAAGGAAGCTGGAGCTACCCAGCTGGGGTTAGGGACATAAATATGACAAGGAAGCCACTTCAGAGCAGGCACTAGGTCCGCTGATCACATAGAATGACCTCAGCACAGGCGTTGCTTCTAAATTTGTCGTTTACATCTAGACTATGACTCAAAATTGGCCAAGAATTTGTCACTTCCAGCTCTGGTTCTGCCATATTAATGATCCTTTGGGACCATGGTGGACTTGGCTAAACTGTCTGTGTTGGAGGGGGGTGAGGAGGGTGAAGAGGTGAGGAGGGTGATGGGGATGAGGTAAATAACCCTTCCGGACAAAGGCCAACATTTTTCTTTGTGACAAGAACCCCGGAGGGGCTGGTGTTGGTACTTGTGGTGGTTGGAAATAACATGGCCCACTATCGGGAGGTGTGGCCTTGTTGGAGGAAGCGTGCCATTGTGGGCGTGGGCTTTGAGGTGTCTTATACTCAGGCTTTCCTCAGGCTTTCAGTGGGCTCGTTGTTGCCTGAGGATGTGGGACTCTCAGTTACGCCTCTGGCACCATGTCTGCCTGCACACCACGGTGATGATAATGGACTAAAGCTCCGAAACCGCAAGCCTACAGGGTGTTGCCGGAGTCATGGTGTCGACTGGCAGCGGTAAAACCCCTAAGACGATACTCCTCACTCAGACTCCTTCAGCCTGAAATTCACCTCTGTGGATTCCGGGAGCTTTCTTTAACAATCTCTTTGTGTTCATCTTCTCAATTCTCTCATCCTGGAATGGTCTGTTATTTGAAGATCGAATTTTCTTGTGGATGTTCTCAGTTTATTTTATTTATTTATTTTTATTTATTGGTTTTTCGAGACAGGGTTTCTCTGTGTAGCTTTGGAGCCTGTCCTGGAACTCTCTCTGTAGACCAGCTGGCTTCGAACTCACAGGGACTCGTCTACCTCTGCCTCCCGAGTGCTGGGATTAAAGGCGTGCACCACCAACGCTCGGCCTCTCAGTTTATCTTTGTGTGGTTTTGAACTTGCTTGGTATCTTTCCGGGTGCTGTGTAGGCCCTCAATTGTGCACTTTTGTGCCTAACTCCAGATTCTCCTGTTTTGGTTTCTTCAAAAGAAAAACTAATCTTCTGTTGGGCTCCCGGTGCTGCTGCTGGTGGCGGTAGAGGGGCAGGTGTAGCCAGTGGCACGCGGGGAAGGCTTTTAGATGTTTAATTGTTTCTTCTTACAGCCCATTTTCATTCCATAGTCCAGCTTTTTTACCGCTTGAATACCCCCTTCATAGGCACCTTGTTTCTCCTTCTCCCTGGGGTTCATGGCAGGACTCACTAATGTTACTTTAGGCCTTCCTTTGGCTTACCAGGGACAGACCTTTGGATGCTCTGTCTGACTCTGCTGTTCTGAAGTAGAATGGGAAGATGCCAGCCCCTTACCCGCCGGGGCTGATTGACGTCCCCTGCCAACTGAGGGTCTTTTCTCTGCTAAGCGGTTGCTCAAACTCAACCCTGTGATGTTCTCACACTCATCTTTCTCAGCTTCATTTTTAATTATTTCCTAACCTCACTCCCCTCATTGCTCTGGGCTTAATCCAGGCCTATTTAATCCCCTCAGCAGACACTAGCGATTTTCTGAGATGCTAAATTTCATGTGGTAACTCAGCTGAGTCACACGATGTCCAAATAGTTGCTCAACATCGTTCTGCATGCTTCTGAGGGTGCCTTGGTTTTTCCCTCATACAGTGCTAGCATACCCTGATAGGAGCTTAGCTTTGAGTACAGTATGCATGTAAACAGGGACTTCAGTCCTGATGCTGTACTGACTGAGATGCCTGAGGCCCCTGTATTCTGATTATGACAGCTTCCTTCCCATTTCAGCTTTAATTTAATTTGCTCTCCACATTAGGTCATTCAGTTGTCTTCTATCTCCAGTAGGATGTCACTGCTAAAGACCTTCAGTGCCTTTGAGGTCTTTTGCATTTCTAAACTCCTCTCTCTCTCTCTCTCTCTCTCTCTCTCTCTCTCTCTCTCTCTCTCTCTCTGTGTGTGTGTGTGTGTGTGTGTGGTCTCTGTCTCTCTGTGTGTGTGTGTGTGTGAGAGAGAGAGAGAGAGAGAGGGAGGGAGGGAGGGAGGGAGGGGGAGGGTAGGGGGAGTGAGACAGCGATGCATGTGTGTATATATATGTAAGACCCCTGCCTCAGTTGAGACAGTGTCTGACCTGATATGAGAACCTGTGAACTTCCAGCCACTCTCTTGCCTCTTGCGCCCTGTCTTCCTGAAGTATAATTGCAAGCCACAACACTCAGTTTTTAAATTGAATGCTAGTGTATGTGCCTGAGTGCGTGTTTGTGTACCATGTGCATGCAGTGCCCGAGGGGCCGGAGGGGACACTGGATGGATCCCTTGGAACTAGAGATATAGATGCTTGTGACCCACCATGTGGGTGCTGGGAACTGAACCTGGGTCCTGTGGGAGAGCAGCCAGCACTCCTAACTGCTGGCCTATCTCTCCAGCCTCAATACTCAGCTTTCACATGTGTTCTGAGGTGCTGAAGTTGGACCAGAATGTTCACACGACAGTCCTTTTACCCACGGAGCCGTTTCCCAGTCCCTCCTAAATTATTCTTCTCCTTGGTGATGGTATCGTTCTCCTGGGTACACGGTGCTTTGTCTTTCTGTTCTCTTTCATGCGTGACTTCTTCGGGGATTCCTTCTTTTCTGTGGGACATTGTTCCTCCCCATTACAACTCGGCCAAGTGTGACTCTTACATGAACTAGGGTTGGCTGCCGCCTTTCCCTTCTCCCTCCTCCTCCTTCTCCTCCTCCTCTTCCTCTTCATTCTCCTCCTCCTCCTCCTTTTTCAAGAAAGGGTTTCTCTGTGCAGCTTTGGAGCCTTTCCTGACACTCTCTCTTTAGACCAGGCTGGCCTCAAACTCACAGGCCTGCCTCTGCCTCCCAAATCCTGGGATTAAAGGCATGTGCCACCACTGCCCAGCTAGTTTATTTTTCTAAGAAAGAAATGCTATTGGGATCTACTGTATTGCAAGGAGACCGTATTTCTCTTTCTCTTTAAATTCTGAGACTGTCAGAAGGACCCTGTACCTAGGCGGCATCCCAAGGATATTTCTTACATTAGTGCCACTGGGACACCCTGAAACTGCTACAGTTCTTATGTATGGCAGCTCAAGGGCAGATGGGAAAAAGGCGTGAGCCACAGAGACTGGATTTCGGTTTCAGCTCTTCAAGCCCCTAGTGGATGGCAGGAGGGGACAGCTGCCAGCGCTGAAGGGAGGGCACATTGTCCATCTCTGCCCCCAAGAGCGTTTGCTGTCGCCGAGCTGAGCTTCCTGCCATCTTCTTCCTCCACTTCTGATTTAATGTTCTAATTCTTTGTTCTCTTAGCGTCTGTTGTCTGGATGCCTTGATGTCTTTAGGTTTATAAATAATCAATACCCTAAAGTAGCTTTTATGTATTTCCCAGGAGGCTTTGTGTTTAAAACACTCATTACCCCCTTCTCCCTCTCTCCCCTTCCCTCCCTCCCTTCCTCCTTCCCTCCCTCCCTCTCTCCCCTTCCCTCCCTCCCTCCTTCCTTCCCTCCCTCTCTCCCCTTCCCTCCCTCCCTTCCTCCTTCCCTCCCTCTCTCCCCTTCCCTCCCTCCTTCCCTCCCTCCCTCTCCCTTCTTCACTCCTCTCCCTCTCTCCCTTTCTTTTTGAAGAGACTTGTCATTACTGATTTTTATTTTTAAACCCGGAGAAACATTTGCAAAGCAAGGATGGATATCTCTCTTCTGCCTTCTCAGAGCCCAGTCTTCTCCTACTAGGAAGATTCATTGTACTGTGAACTCCAGAAGTCAGGGAGAGCAGCGGGCAAGCTCTTTAAGTTATCCTTCGCTTGACCCCAGGCATTCAAAGCAAGAACCAAGAGCTCTCCAGTCTCTGAGCTCTGAAGAAACGGACCCTTCACCCCCGCCCCCAGTCCAGACCTCTAGTTTCTCCCTCCCTCCAGCAGCTGTTTGGGCGGGCACTTCCAGAGCCCTGATTCCCCTCAGAAACACAGACGTCGGCCTTTTGGAAACCCTTTTTTCCCCCTGACTCTGTGAAGACTTCTGACACTGTCTTTACTTCCTGGATTTTAGTGATTTTTCTCTCTCCTCCCCTCCAAGTCTGGGTTGAAGTCTCAGTCTTTTGTTATTCAGTTCTTAAGGCAACAGCTGTGCAAACCTGGCCTCTTCTTTGTTGCTGGTGCCAGAGCCTAGGAGAGGAGGGCAAGCTGTCAACCATTTTATTGCGGCAGATCCTTAATAAATTAGTTTATTTGTTTAAGGGAACAATTCCATCTTTTTCATATTTAATTGTTTTCCTCTTTTAAAGTTATTCGTGAGTTATTGAATTCAAGCAGCTCTAAGATTCCTTATTAATCCTGGTATCTTCCTCCTAATCTTTTCAAGGGTTAGGAGTGAATTCACCCTAGGAAGCAGGCACAAAGGCAACTTATATGGCAGGCGCGCCATAGAATTCCTTTATGTTGCTCCTGAGACCTCCCTTTCCTTTGCATTGCTAACAGTCGCCCAGGAGAAAGCTTTTCTCTCTAGACCGGGCTGAAAGGAAACCGCACCACCCCCCTGAGCAAAGAGAAGCACAGCAATGAAAAGAAGATGCCTTTTTTTCTAGTTTCCAGGAAAAAGAACTCAAAAGTTTCCCAAAGAATATCGGAGTCCGTTATTTTACATCTGTTGTGGTTAAAGTTGATAGCAACCAGTTTCTCCCCCAGCAGGGCTGGTACAATATCTCCATTCAGGATCATCCTGGAACGAGGCCTCGTGGCTGGGTGAATAATAATCACGGGAAAATGGACGCCCAGTGTGTTTTTGATTAATTGTTACTCCAGCACAGAACAGGAGGCCAAAGCTGTGCTTCCGGCTTCTCTCTCTCTTCCTACCCCGCCTCTAGCCCTCCTTCCCCACCGGAGCCTCTCACCTTCACCGGCAGCGGCCTTTGCTGGCCTTAGTTTCTCTCGCCTAGGAGTTTTTCCTGAGAGACGAAACTCAAGTCCTCATCCTGCGAAAGGAAAACGATGGACTCAGTACAGCACCCTGTAAAGAATGATTTTATTGGTCAGAAGTGAACCCGGGAAGTTCCCCTGCGTCCTTTTTGTCGCTGCGCACCTGAAGTTTGGTTTGGATTTCGGAAATCTCCTCCTGCTCCTGCTGGAAGGGGGATTCAGTGTGAGACCAGGAATTAGGGAGATGGCTCCTTGTAGGCAGACGGGGAGGGGCCATGGCTAGAGGCGGTAAAATTCCAAGATGCGAGGCTGCTTCTTCAATCCCCCACCAGCAGTCTCTTACTGAGGGACTGGCTCAACAAGCTCAGGGCTAGATCAGGACAAGTCTGTCACACAACGTGAGGATGAGTATGTTTCCAGTGTGAAGACCCAGGAAGACGCACTTGGCCTTGAAAAGTTTCTGCACCCCGATAAGCCTCTCCGCCATCACCCCGGCCTCTGGCATCCTTACACCCAAATAATCTGCAAAGTTATGGTGGAGGTTCCACCCAAGTCCCCCTCCCCTGTCTTCTTCCAAACCCTGCTGCATCTCAGAAGGCCTGCCCAATGATGACCCCTCGCTCAGAGATGCTCAAGACCACTCCCACAGGATATTTAAACTGTCCCTCCCCGGGCGTTGGTGGCGCAAGCCTTTAATCCCAGCAGAGGCAGGCGGATCACTGTGAGTTCGAGACCAGCCTGGTCTACCGAGCGAGTTCCAGGACAGCCTCCAAAGCCACAGAGAAACCCTGTCTCGAAAAACCAAAAACAAAACAAAACAAAAACAAAAACAAAAAACAAAAAAACTGTCCCCCAGAGAACAGACTCTTGTGGTTTTCTGGTCTCCTCTTTGGGGGACTGGAAGTTCACCTGGGAGCCTTGTATCCATTAAATGTGGGCTTCTTTTAATTCTGTTTGATTTGATCTCATTTGAATTGCTGCGTTGGCAGAGAGGCTTACCCAGGTGTAGAAACTTTTCAGGCCTCACAACAACAGCTGCGGACCAACCAACCTGTCTTCAAAGTGACAAACCCTAAAGTGTGTGTGGTGGGGGAGCTCTTCAGGACTTTAAAACCCCAAGTCCCTAAGAAGAGGTTCACTTCTTGGCCTTCTAAGTCTCCTTTGCTTTGCAGGTCTTTTTCTGAGTGTGTCTGTTGTGTGCATGGTTTCCCCACCCCCACCCCCAAAAATATCTTCCTCAACGGCTGATTCTGTTTTCAGTGCTTGGGATCTTTCTGCTGCTACCTGTTGAGTTTCAGGTTTTTTTTCCAGCTTCTTAATTCTTTAATTGGGAGAGAGAGAGAGAGAGAGAGAGAGAGAGAGAGAGAGAGAGAGAGAGAGAGAGAGGCTGATCAAGACCCTCTATACTGTATCATTTCACGGTCCCTAGACTGTATCAAGGGGATGGAAAAACAAAAGCCAAGCAGAATCAAGATCCCTGTGCCCAAGACATGGCAACATTTTTTAAAGAGTTTATTTGTGCAGATGGTGATGTGTGGACAGACAGGGCGGCTCCAACCTGGGAGAGGGGGAGGAGCTTTACTGAAGGAGCCACAATCTGAGGCTCCCTGGGACACACACACAAGTGGACGGGGAGCACACTTGCTGTCACACTGGTCCTATTTGATCTACCCTGTGAGAAAGTTGCCCGCTGTAAGTTCGCTGCTGCTTGGGGGTGGTGGAGTTTAATTACGTTTTTCTTCAGCAAAGACCACAGCAGGCATCAAAGTAACTAATGTAACTGGTCTCTGTTTGGCCTTACTTATAGAAGTGTTAGGTCACCAAGCGAATCCCTAAGATGGCAGCCCAGCTGTGGCTACCCTAGATTGGCTACTGGACCCTAGCCAGGTTAGACCCACGAGGAAACAGAAACCTAACCCCAGGCATTTCTCAGGGACCCTGTAACTCTGGGACCTTGTTTATCAGATAACTGCAGTTTCCTCATTCCTCCCTAAATGGCCATCTGCCACAGGCAAAAGGACATCTGCTACCCGGAAACTGACTTGAATGCCCCAGGCTCAGCCCCCTTCCCTCAGGCCTGTTTCATCCAAGACAGGAGAAAAAAGTCTCTCTAGCAGAAGGGATATCTAAGGCCTTGAGGACCCCATAAAAGCCATCTACTCTCCCAGCTGTGCTTCCCTCTGTACTCAACAGACAGCCCAACAGTTTGTCCCCCAGCAAACAGTTTTTCCTACCCTTTGAGCCGTCCTGTGGTTTCCCTGTGCACACGTACATGACGTACAGTTCTGGAGGGCAAAGGGTCCATCGTGGCAGGGAATTGTGGCAGCAGGAGGCAGACATGACAGTGTCAGCCCTTAAGAGTCCACTTCCCCAACTTCCCGCAAGCAGAGAGCAGAGAGAGTACACCACACTAGAAATGGTTACAGTCACTAAGCCTTCAAAGTTTGCCTCCAGTAAGGCCACACCTCCTAAACCTCCCCAAATAGTGTGGCCTACTGGGACCAGGTATCCAAATGCCAGAGAGTACGGGGACATTCATTCAAAGCACACACACCTGCTTTCTAGGCAGGTGTTCGTGTTAAGGGAAACCTTTTCCTTTGAGAGAATGCATTCCCGCCAGCCTGGTTCTAGATCCGCATCAGTCCCAAATAAACACACAAGACGTTGTATTAATTATGAAGCTGTTGGCCTTTGCTTGTTTCTTATAGGCTAGCTCTGACTTAAGTAATTACCCCATAATTGTTAATCTAAGTATGTCTCTTACCGGAGAATAGTTCCAGACTTCCTACCCCATGGCGGTTACATGTCGAACTCTTTTGTGTTTCTCCTTCCCAGAGTCCTCCTGGACTCCTAGTCCCTCCTATCTAGATTTCCTATAGGCCAGACAGTGCTTTATTGACAAATAACAGGCAAATAACAGGACTTCCCCAACATGTTCGTGTCCCTTTATCTGGGTTTCTAAGACAGAGGGGAAGGAGAGGTTATGTAGAAGATGGAAAGTTCACGGTCACGGCCATTCTTGGTTGTCACCCTGACCCATCTGGACCAAAGCCCTACTGGCTGGGTACACCTGTCAGGGGTCCTTCTTAATCAAATCATTTGGAGTGGATCCAGACCTTTAATCTGGCTCCTCTGAGGTGGGAAGATCCACCTTAAACCTTGGCCACACATTTAAAGGGCGGGGAAGAGGGAAGACCTGACTCTGCTTGCTTGCGGTCATTCTAGCTCTCCCCGCAAGCCCATTCCGCCACGGCAAGCCCATTCCGCCACCAGCATTACAGCCTACTTCTTGGGGATTCCGGAATATACTGAAGAACAGATGAGGTTCAGCCTGGTGGCCTGAACAACTGACTTTCCACTGGTAGATGGCTATTGCTGGCCTAGCTGGACTGTAACAAGCATTCTTCCCACCAGCCTGGTCGCAGAGCCGCATCAGTCCCAAACAAACACGCAGGACGCTATATTAATTATGAAACTGTTGGCCGTTGGCTATGGTTTCTTGTCGGTTAGCTCTGACTTAATTATTAACCCATAACTGCTAATCTGGAGAAAGGGTCTGGACCTCTCACTCCTCTTGTATCCTACATGGTGACTGACTGTGCCTCTGTTTCCCAGAATCCTCCACCTCTCCTAGTCCCACCTATCTTGCTTCCCTATTGGCCAACGGTGCTTTCTTTATTCATCAACCAATAAATATATACACACAAGGACACCCCCATCAGTGGATCACAACCTGTAAGTTACTCTAATAAATTCTCTTCATGTATAGATTCATTCGATCAGTTCTGCTCCTTTAGAGAACCTCGGCTAACACATTCACTCATGCTATTAAAAGGAAGCCACTTTCCATCAGGATCAGTCTGTTGTCTGAAGGTAAAGAAACCTTCTCTCATAGGTAAGGTGAAGAATCACTGCTGTCTAAAGGAATTCCCTGTGTGCTTGGTATGATGGGACCCATTGTGTGTTTGGTTTTGTATGATGTGACTAACTGTGTGTTTAGTACGGTGAGACCCACTTTGTGCTTGGTATGATGGGACCCTCTGTGTGTTCAGTATAATGGGACCCACTGTGTGCTTGGTATGATGGGACCCACTGTGTGCTTGGTATGATGGGACCCACTGTGTGCTTGGTATGATGTAAGCACAGTATGTGTGCTGCTTGACTTAATCTTTGCAATCCATAGCATCACCATTGTGTATGTGTACACGTTTGTGTGTGTATACATGTGCACATGGAAGCCAGAGGTTGTTTCCGTTGTGTCTCAGGATTCCATCCACCTTGGTTCATTTTCTAAATCATTTTATTTTATTGTGTGTGACACACACAAGGGAATAGGTCTCCAGCCTGTGCAACAGAAGTATACTTTCTTAACCACAGAGCAGTGTCTTCAGCTCTTCACCTTGGTTTGTTCATTTTAAAATCGTGTGTGTGTGTGTGTGTGTGTGTGTGTGTGTGTGTACATGCATGTGTACCTGCACGTGCCGTGGAGCTCTTGTGGGGGGGTCAGAGAACAGCTGGCAGGAGCCTGTTTTCTCCTTCCACCATGTGGGCCCTTGGGCTAGATCTCAGGTCATCAGGCTTGGAAGCAAAGGTGCTTTTACCCACTGAGCCATCTTGCCAGGCAGATTACCTTGGTTTTTTTTGTTTGTTTGTTTTGTTTTTTTTCTTTTTCTTTTTTGAGACAGAGTTTCTCACTGATTTGGAACTTGCCAATTTGGTTAGGCTAGATGGCCAGTGAGCCCTGGGATCTACCTGCCTCTGTCTTGGAAATAATGGAATGACAACGTGGGCTCTGGACATCAGTTTAAGCTGTTCCTGCTTACCTGGCAAGCATTTCATTGCCTGAGCTGTCTCCCAGTGTCAGTATTTCTGTCTTCTAAAGAAGAAAGAGTCTTTCTCAAGAATGAGCCACCTAATTGGCTATCCAATTCCAAATGGCCAACTCTGTAATTGTGTACATATAAGCCACACTAAATGAACTAAACATGATGTGCGTGCATGCGTGTGTGTGTGTGTGTGTGTGTGTGTGTGTGTGTGTGTGTGTGTGTGTATAAAATGTTAAAATATTTTTAGAGATGCTGAGTATAACTCAGAGAGAAAGAGCTGGGGCGTACCAGTCCTGAGGCTGCCTAAGGCCCCCATCCAGATCATCTCCTTAGTGTAAACTTGGGTGAAGAGACTTTAGCCCACTCAAACATGCGGCTCTCACAGGCCTTCCCCCTCTCCCCATTCCCTCTGACTTGCTAAAAACCATTAGATTATGTCCCTGAAGCTGTCACCAAGGCCTGGTCCCTTATTTGTCTACATCCTCCTCCTGAGGCTGACCACCAAAGTCCAGCAATGGTTCACCTGATTGACATGTCCAATTAAAATTAAACACCTCCCCTTTACCGTTATAAACTGCCATTTGCCTGTGAGCCACATCTGTCTCTTCTCTATCCAGAGGCCGTCCTTTGTCCCTTGGGACAAATATCCCTGCCCCCTTTCCCTGGTCCCCGTCCCTTTCTCCTTCATCCCCTATCTCCTTTATTACCACATTCTAGCCCATTCTAACACAGGCCTCCCCTTTTTCTCTTCTTAAGAATGACACCCAAAGGGTCATTGGCTGCTGTTTTTCTGCCTGAGTCAGAAA